GGGATTCGAACCCGCCACCTTAGGTGTACATGGCTGGCGCCTTAGCCGGTTGAGCTATAGGCGCCGAGCCAAAGCAATGCTCCTTAACCTTAGTATCTTTGAAAATCTAATGAAGCAGCGGATCTCCTCTAGAAAATAACTTGGATACCCAATATATAGAATTTTTTCACACTGTCTTGTTAGCTTAGGTCTCTTTGAAGCTTGTAAGTTTATCTCCTAGCACAGTAGTTATCAAACAGGCTATGAATGTATACTGGAGAGTAGAAATACAACTTGAAGATCTGAAAGTTCTCTGCAGGGATTTCATTTATTTATTTATTTATTTTTGGAGACAGGGTCTTATTTCTAAACAGTCACATTCTGAGGTACTCTTGGGGATTAGGACTTCAACATATAAATTTGGGGTGGCACAATTCTATAATAAAAAGGTTAAATGACTTGTCTGTGGCTAGTTATGTAATTAATAATGGCAGAGATAGTATTGAGCAGCCTGATCTCCTGAGTCCTGGAACAGTGGAGCGACTGCCCCTCTTTGCCTTCTTTTTCTTTTTTTTTTTTTTTGTTTTTTTTTGAAGACAGAGTCTTACTTTGTTACCTTAGGAAGAGTGCCAGGGCATCCTAGCTCACAGCAACCTCAAACTCTTGGGCTCAAGCGATTCTCTTGTCTCAGCCTCCTGAGTAGCTGGGACTACAGGTGCGTGCCACAATGACTGGCTATTTTTAGATATGGGGGTCTCACTCTTGTTCAGGCTTGTCTTGAACATGTGAGCTCAGACAATCTGCCCATCTCAGCCTCACAGAGTACTAGGATTATAGGCGTGAGCCACCACGCTGGCCTTCCGTTTCTGCTTTCTGGTGGGCCTCCAGGAAGCCCACATAAGGGGAGGAACCAGAGGGGAAGACATGTTCAGTTTATGGATGCTCCTCTCCAGTTCTCTTCCCAAAGTCTCCTAGAATATTCCCAGAAACCCTACCCCATTAACATAAAACTATTAAAATCCCAGTGTAGCTGCACTTAATTACTCATAAAGGGTCTCTGACTTCTCATTTTAAGCATTTTATTTTATGTTTTGACATAAATAAAAGGAAGCTTATTTCTCACATTCTGGAGACTAGAAGTTCAAAGTCTAGATGTTAGCAGATTTAGTTGGTCCTGAGGCCTCTATCCTTGGGCTGCCATCTTACTGTGTCTTCATATGACCTTTCCTCTGGGTATGCCTCATTTTAAACATTTTAAGAATAAAGGTTTGGCCAGCATTGTATCATGCCATTATAGCCCCAGCTATTCAAAGGACTTAAGGCAAAAGCAGTCCAGGAGTTCAGGGTCCTCCTGGGTAATGTAGTAAGATCCTGTCTATAAATAAATCAGTAAATCAAATGTTTAGACTTGGAGTCTCTGGGCTGTTATGATAGAGATTCTTAAGGTAACATAAAATATATGAATTTTGGTTTTAAAACACTTTTTCTAGACTGATTATATATATATATAATCAGATATTTGAGACAGAGTCTTACTGTGTCACCATTGGTAGAGTGCCATGGCAACACAGCTTACAGCAACCTCAAACTCTTGGACTTAAGCGATTCTCTTGCCTCAGCCTCCAAGTAGCTGGGACTACAGATGCCCACCACAGTGCCCAGCTATTTTTTTGTCATAGTCGTCGTTGTTTAGCAGGCCTGGGCAGGGTTCGAACCCACCAGCTCTGGTGTTTGTGGTAGACTGATAATATTTTTTGAACAGATAAAGTAATGCAATGTTCAGTCTTGTGACTTTTTTCCAGAAGGGTTCTAATTACATTGTCTCTTTTAAGTATAGATTCATATTCTCAAGTCTCCACAAGAAGTACAATCTCTTTAATTTCCTTTTATTAAGAAGGAAACTAAGAAAAAAATCCTTAAAATCCCACAGTATTGATTTA